TCCACGGTTTAGGGTTTAGGGTTTAGGGACTCAGGGTTCGGCTCACTGGGGTTCAGGGCTGTCTTTCAAAATTCAGAGAGATCTGGGCTCTGGGCCCAGGATCCTTCAGCGCAGCCTAGCCTAGTCCCTGGAAGGCCCGTATAAGCACCTACTTGCCACGAAAATGAACCGAAGATCCCCTAAAGACCTTAAAAGACAGCCCCTTAATAAAGCAGCCCTTAACGCCCTAAGCCCCCGAAATTCCCTACAGGCCCCAAGATCCGAAAAACTCTGAATGCCTGAACGTCCCTGAAAGCCTTCGGCCCCCAAAGATCCCCCAGTGAGACGTCAACTCCCGTTCATTTGCAAACGAAATTGACTGGAGTTTAGGGTTTAGGGTGCAAGTAACCGTGTTTTCGCGGCTGAGTCTGCGTGGATGTTGTTGCTAGTGCCGACATGGGTTCGCTGGTATGCCGCCAAAACCATTGTCTCGATTTTGCCGATGTTGTCTTTGGGACGTCACTATTTCGGACGGGCGCCTAAGCCCTCTGACAGTTGGGGATTTACGATGGCCATCGCGCGCCAGGCTGCATCCTATATGCGATCACCCACTCGGACAAACAGTTGCGCACCTAGAGCAACAGGGAGATGTGCAGTGAACTGCGTCTTTTTGCCAACTCCGTCGCAGGTGTGCTATTCTGGCGGCAGGATGTTCTTACTTGTTCGATGTCCCAAAGCCACCTCCCAGACCATGCAGGCTGCGTTCGGGACGTCATCCGGAATAGCTACTTCATGAGCGGCAGCAGTCTATCGTTGACGTTCCCGAGAAGTTTGACTCGACCCTAGAGCCTCGTCGCACAAGATTCCTTCCCCATGCACCTTGGAACTGTTTGAGGTCACGAGGTGTGGCGATCGATGCATATGGCCCAGCAACGCAGCTCGACAGAGAGAGAGAGAGAGAGAGAGAGACAGAGAGAGAGAGAAGAGAGAGAGAGGGAGAGAGAGAGAGAGAGAGCGAGAGACGGAGAGCGAGAAGGGCAGAGAAAGGTACAGAAGTCAAACACGAATATGCACGTGATGAAGCGTCTTTAGTCCGTGCGCTGCGGACTCGCAGGATTTAGATGCGGAGCCAGGTTTGTGTCCGGCTGTGGGATTCTTCAACGCAACCATCTTTCCTTATCAGCATCACCATTACGCCAGGATGGCATCGCTATACCCACACCACCATGGTCGCTGCTGGGTACTAGCATCATGACAATGAACAGTCGCCATGGCACTTGTACCGCCGTGGGTGCAACTTATAGACCGACAATGTCAGAGACGACGACTACTGCTAAAAAGACTAGAAGTATTGGTACTGTATTGATACTACCACAACCAGCGCCGTTCCAGCTACTATTATTTTTGGTATTATTATTATTATTACTACTACCACTACTACTACTACTACTACTACTACTACTACTCCTGCTGCTGCTGCTGCTGCTGCTACTGCTACTGCTACTGCTACTACTACTACTACTACTACTACGACAACGACGACCACCACCACCACCACCATCAGCAGCACCACCACCATCAGCAGCAGCACCACCATCCGCAGCACCACCACCATCCGCACCACCACCACCACCACCACCACCACGGCCTCTACGCAATATTCTCTGGCCCTAAGTCTCAAACCCCGTTACGGAGCCTTGAAGAAACCCTTGCACCAGAAGAGCCCCTAAACTGGGTTCTTGTTAAAGTTAAGTTACCATGATCAGGAAACCATAATATTTACTATAGATCCCTATTATGGTAACGCAAATAAAAAAAATCCCTGAACCAGAACCCAGTGCAGCTCTGGCAGGGCGGCACTCCGGCGGACAGTGGAGAGCAATGGTTTGGCAGCGTCTCGGATGGGAGCAATCGGTGGCATGGGCCTTGCAGTTGGAGCAGGGCTTGACAGGTTTTGGCAATGTATCATCGTGTTTCATGGTGTTGAATTATCGCTGCCTCCGGAAGCAAAGCAGGGTTGTTGGGGTAGGTTATGTGATTCATTTCATCGACGCTGTACTTTAGGTTTTTGTGTTCGGGTTTTAGAGGTTTAGGATTTAGGGTTTTTGAGCTTGGTGTTTACACTTTAGGGTTTGGGGTTTTACGGTTCAGGGTTTTGGGTTGGCGGTGTGGGTTCTTGGGTGCTTGAAGTTGCAGGGCTTTTGGGCAGAAGTAGCAAAGACACATCAACGAAGAGAGAGGGAGAAACACCATGGCCTTTCTCCAGAAATGTTGCACAACGCAGAAGATGACTCCTCTATCAGCCTTGAATCCCCTCGCTCTCTTTCTCTCTCTCTCTCCCTCTCTCTCTCTCTCTGCCTCTCTCTCCCCGCCCAGAACCACGGAAAGCCCATAATCCAGTGGTTGAGATTTTATGTTGAAGAGGGTCTTTGTCTTGGGGGTACAGTCTGTTATATTTTGAAAAGATGTAAGGAGGTAGCATTACTGGATGTGTGGGCTTCCCTAGGAACTGACCCTTGAGCCTTCCCTCCAGCAGGTGAGCTCCCAGTCTCACACAGTCTATAAACCCCAACAGCCCCTATGAACCCGACTACGCGACCCTAAACTCTAAGCCCTAAACCCCTAAACTCTAAACCCTAAACCCCTAAACCCTAAACCCCTAAACCCTAAACCCCTAAACCCTAAACCCCTAAACCCTAAACCGAAACCCGAAAGCCTCTAGAGCCCTCTGAGGGCCGACTTGCAGTTCTGCAGTGACCGGGCAGTAAGTGAGAACTTGGGGGTTTCAGGGCTTGAGGGCCTTTCTAGGGGTTGTAGAGGTTCTAAAAGGGCTCTGTGGTCTGTTTGTTACTACGGTTACGGGGTTGAAAGTTTTATTTTTAGTGCGTCTCTATAAAGGTTTAAGCTAACAGCATGGTTTCGCGTTGCCTGTTGGTGACCCCCGGCAGGATGAGAGTAGGGCTCTGCTCTAGTCAGGACCCCTTCATTGCTGAAGCTAGGTCATCCGGCAAAGTCCAACGCAAAGAGCCTCAAATTTCACCTTTATGGTCCAGGCCGCACATGCACCCGGCCAAGTTCTCTAAAGCCTCAGCTCCAGAGTCTTTTTCCTTGAACTTGTGAGCCTCTTGAGTTCTGATTTTCTTGAAAGCTATCCTAAACTGCACCGTCCTGCGCAGCCCACCCTATGTCGGTATCGCTTCTGCGACTGTTTGCCGTCAGTAGCATGATGCGCTACGAGAATTTTGCGGCTGTATACATGTTTGCATGCATATGGAGAGAGTATATTATATGTGTCAACATGTGTACACGTGCCTACATGTTCCTGTCCCTTCTGACTTAGATCCTTCAACCTTGATTAGGTGGCACATGCGATCATGTTCTGCATGTCTCTGCATGTCGTAAACACCTTCCTAGCTCATGCATATGTACGTGATCGTTTGTGTCTGTACGTGCATGCAACGTGCATGCATACATACATACGTACATACGTACATACGTACATATGTACATATGTACATATAATATACATGCATACATACATACATACATACATACATACATACACACACATGCAGAAAGATGTGCGTGCATCCCTATAGACGTACATACGTACATACGTACATACGTACATGCGTACATATGTACATATGTACATACAGATACACACACATGCAGAAAGATATGCGTGCATGCCTATATATACGTACATATTACACACACAGAGAGATGTACGTGCATACCTACATACATATATACGTACACATGTACATACGTTACGTACATACATTCATTCATTCGTTCATGCGTACATGCACATAGGCATCCCTGAATTCCTTCATGCGTTCGTACATTCGGACATACATCATGCATGCATGAGCAAACGCACAACAAAACTTACATACAGACATTTACATACTTCCATGCTCACATTAATACTGTACTTACACAATCATTAGCTGCCTCCTACCTGCCTGCCTCCCTGCTTCCCTGCTTTCCTGCTTCCCTGCTTCCGTGCCTGCCTGCCTGCCTGCCTGCCTGCCTGCCTGCCTGCCTGCCTGCCTGCCTGCCTGCCTGCCTGCCTACCCACCGACATTCTTTCTTTCATACCGACATGCATGTATGTGCACGTGTATACCTGCATCATAGTGGGTGTGCGTGTCCAGGCAAGTATGTGTGTAGACCATGCAGTGCTAGGTGCCCTTTCTGGGCCGGTGAGCCTTTAGGTGGGCTGTCGGCTGTTGGCCTTTTTTTATATAGATTTTGTGTTGAAGTCGCGCCCTAATGATTGACGTAAGAAGAGCGGAGTTTCGAGCCACCACTGAGATCCTTGATTTTCACAAAGTGCCGAGGCACTTCATCTGCTCAGACGATCGCGGCACGGCCAGATCAGTCGGAAGCCGCTAAGTCCGCTAAGTCCCCTGAACGCGGAACCCAAACTCCTAAATCCAAAACCAAAAATAGACCCCAAACCAACATGCAGAAACAGAACCTTTGGAGCCTCCCCCGTCCATGAAAATCCCTTCACTTAACACCCTCACCTCGTCTTGGCTTCAGGAGGCTCTCATTGTCGCTACCGCCGGCAGTAGCCGGAAGCATAGGAGTTCAGCAGCGTGGAAAAGCAAGCAAGGAGCAGCAGTAGCATTAGCAGAGGCAGTGCACGGTAGCAAGCAGAAATCGGTACGGAGCGGGGTATGTTGGAATAGTATAGGTGCAGGCATTAGATGAGGAGCGAGAGCAGGAGACCGAGCGGGAGAAGGAGGGTAATGATTTTTTGGCACAGGTTGGCGTTATAGGACAAGTGATAGCAGCAGCGGCAATAACGAACACATCCCCGCGATGACAATGCAGAGTAACCCTTGCCAAGCACACTCACCAGTACCGTTTATCACCCCTAGGCGATTATAATTTTTCACCAGACCCATATATCCCAAACCCCAAACCCCAAACCCTTAACCCCTGAACCCCTACACCCTAAACCCCAACCCCTAAGCAGACACCAGATCACAGCTCCTCCCTCCGAGGCAAGTTTGCGGCGACCGTCGAGCCGACCGGGTGGCTGAGCCAGCCCGGCTGGGAGGAGCTGGTAGAGGACGCCTTTAGAGTTTAGGGGTTTAGGGGTTTAGGGGTTTAGGGGTTTAGGGTTTAGGGTTTAGGGATTTAGGGGTTTAGGGGTTTAGGGATTTAGGAATTTAGGGTTTAGGGATTTAGGGGTTTAGGGGTTTAGGGTTTAGGGATTAGGGTGTAGGGTTTAGGGGTTTAGGGTTTAGGGTTTAGGGTTTAACTGTAACCGAAAAGACCTACCTTTTTAGGGTTCCTTATTATGGTTTCTATATATAGTTCCTTAAAAAGGTGGGTCTTTCCGGCTAGAGGTAAACCCTAAACAGGACTTTGGGTTGCAGGGTTTAGGGCTCCGGGCTTAGGGTTTTGTGATGTCTTCCGACGTGAGGAGTCGGGTATTTCGGGGGTACTGACGCAGACTTGGGCATGTAGTGCCCAGTCTTGAGCTTTATATATGAAGACGAAGACCTTAGGATTTTATGGCTTAGAACCGAAGCGCTTTCCTGCGGTTTAGTTTCAGTTCGGGTGCTGGGTGTAGGGTTTAGATGAATATTCTTTGGATCGTAGTAAGTTTCAAGGCTGAACCTGAAGCTCGAGGTCGTAGGAGGATTTAGGGTTTACCCTAAACCCTAAACCCTAAACTCTAACCCCCTAAACCCTAAACCCTAGGGTTTAATCTGAACCTAAACCTTCGGAACCGATAGCGTGCAGAATCGATAGAACGAAGCTTTGGGGTTGCTCCATACTCTCTAATTTCTCTCCTGTTGTAAGTTTTGAAATGGAACCAGGATTTTCGTCCAGATGAAAGCTGAAACTTCAATGTTCAAGCCGATGAAGCATAGCTTCGATTTCTGAACAGCAAGGACGGCCAGAAGGAAGAAGCGACGGAAGTGGTGGCCTCTTGCCAATATGAGCAGCACTCCTGGTGTTATGTGTCGTTTCTTGATGATAACTCTTCCTATGCTTTTTCTTTAAATTCCAAACCCTGTACCCGGTATGTGTATATATACATATATATATATATCTATATATATATATGTGTGTGTACACAACTTCAGAGCTCGAGATTAGTCTGGCTCCCAAAAATTTGAACCCTCAAACACCGAGGCTTGTACAAGCCTGGAGTCCGTCCTGCGGGAGCAGGACATGGAGGAGGCTAGGTGATCAGGCAGTAAATGAATCGCGATGCCCGACATTCCTGCGGGGATACTAGGCTTGGAGCTTGAAGCTTTAGATTTCCGTGCACGGTGCGTTAGCGCACCTGGAGGTTCCTTGAACTTGTGTGGGGTTTTGCATTGGTGTGCAGGTCTACTCCAAAGCAGGGTTCTGTTAAGACAAGTGTCTACTCAGGTTCGGAACTAGTAGAATGAGCCTAGACAGGAACATGATCTGCAACAAGCTGCCTGTACAAACAGTTTGCTTGAGTGCATGGCTTTGGGTGGGACTCCTAACATGTCTTTGCATGGGAGTACATGCCGTTCAGCCTCTGACATCGTCAATGCAAGCTCTGAAATTCCTGAGGATCAGCCTTCAACCCTCGCCGAACTCCCGCATTTTCCCTCCTCCCTGGAACGGCAGACCCCAGGTCCTTGTTGGATCGTGCGTGCCTTCTTTTCCAGGCTTTTTCAGCCCCAAACCCTGGCCATAGGCTACCAGGACCTCCTAGGGTTTAGGGTTTAGGGCTTGGGGGGGTTCCTCAGCAAGGTCGTGGTAAAAAAAAAACGACGGCCGAAATGGCCCCGCTGTTGTTTTTAACGAATCATCAGGGTTTTGGACAGGCTCCTCTGGGTTCGTTCTTCGGGTTGGACTTAACCCCAAACTGTTACCATAGGGCCGAAATGATTCATCGCAGAATTCTGTGATCCCTTTGTAGCTATGCCGTAACCTGTCCCAAAAACACTATTCTAAGTATCACCGCCCACCATTTTTTTCTTGAATTCAGAAGTCACCGAACCCTAAACCCTAAACCCTAGACCCTAAACTCCTAAACCCCAA